GGCCTCCTAACCCAAGAACTTCATCTGCCACCAAGGGGGCTTCCCGATGCTGCTTTGAAATGCTCTGGTCCTGGTGCTCAGAGCCCAAGTTCTGTTTCTAATAGAGATAATACAGTCTATGCATTTAACTCGGCCTTCCTCTGTAAACTGTGGGCCTCCTTCTCTCTCTCTATGCATTTCACCGAATCTCTGATTATCAGAGGTAATGAGGTCTTTATGGATTATTTTGTCACAGGCCTTCATTCTATAGCTAACGGAACCAAGCGATTGGTTAATAACGGGACTTGCCTTAAAACACATATACCCAATTGCTAGCAATTCTGGCTGAATTTAGAGCTCCAGATTTCTAAGAGCTTCCTGCTATTTCCACTTGATAACTTCCTGTGGCCTAATCTACATGCGGGTAATTTCAGGTGAGACAAGGAGGCTGACTGTAGAGAAAATTTGGGCCTAACAATGCCATTTTCCAAGCCACAGAACAAACAGCAGAAATTTAATTAAATGTAATTAAATTACGGTCAAAATATAGATTACATATGTATTACTTCAACCAAGCCTCTACCTAGATCTTTATGTTATCTTTTTAATTAAAGCACCTTAGAGGCAGACTGAGGTCAAACAGAACATAGATCATTTGCCTTTATGTTTCTTCTCTGAGCTTCCTAATAGCATTTCACTGAGTGTGTGTGTTAGGGGGTGGGGATTAATATGTCATGAAATCATAAAGTTGAGCTTTTTTATATTTTCCTAATGAAAGGAAAGTTATTGTAACTATAAACTAAATTTTACTGCCTCAATCATAGTAACCATGAAATAGCCCTCAAACACCTTTCAAGATAGTTGAGAATTACTATTCCAGATGATTTATGTTTATACGTTTTAAAGTACATTTTAAGAAAAAAAAAATCTTCTGAAAGAAAAAAGTACACAGGTTAGATAAACTGGAGGCCCCAAGGGTTATGAGTAAGTCTGAAGTGGTGCCATATTTCTGCAAAGGTCTAAAGTAAAGGAACCCAGGAGACACAATAAACGTTAAAACAAGACCAGTGCACTACTGACAGGTTGTGAAAAAACTCTTTGATCCAGCTGGAAAGATTTAGCAGCTCAGCAGAGAATTAACGGAGAAACAATACAGCGATAAGAAACGCAACCAAGACAACAATAAAAGGAAATGCGAAACAATAGTAGCACTCGACCTCAGTTGCAAACAAGGGATGGCTGTGTGGGCTCTCCAGCAGCCCCAGTACCGCAACCATCTAGCTTTGTGTTGGGCAAAGACATCACAGCAAAGGCACTTGGCACGGAGCAACTTCTGGCCATGGATTTTGCGTTTAGAAATGTAAGACCCAGTAACATTTAAGGAATTCTCGCTCTTGCCAGATAACCATCCTCTTGCCCTGAAGCCATGAGACAAATGATCCCGAATACCACTTGGCCTTTTCTGCATCTGTTGTCTAAATTAGTGTAGAAACTGGGAGAGACTGAATTTTGGCCCTTAGCAAAAGGGTACATTTTAGTGTCGTAATGACAGTCTTGGCAGAACAGGGCATTCTTCCTTGAAATGTCTCTGCCATACTCAGAGCTTTGTCCACCGTAACCTGAATCTGGCTCCATTGAAGGGACTATCAGTTCTAAATTTTAAATGTACAGGCAGTGATGTGAAAACTTAAAGAGCAAACTGTTTCTTGGAAATCACACTTTATGAACAGTTGTCTCTGACCACCTTTCAGCGTTTTTTAAAAAGGTTTCATTTCCATTTGCTTTTTTTTTATTTTAATTTTAGATTGCCAAAATAGTCCTCTCAAAATTACTACTTAAAAAATTTATTCTCTTTATTTAAATGAAGCCTGATCAAAAGCAAAATTTCTTTTGTGTACTATGTACTGGGGGTGCCCCCCCAAAATGTATACAACTGGGCACTTTGGTCAACATTGCTCAAGCAGTAGTTCGCCAAAATCAGAAGTGTCTGGACACTGATGGTAACCACTTTGAGTGCCTCTTGTAATTGCAGAAATCAAATGTGACTTGTATTCATCTTTTGTTATCGGTATATATTGAGTATTACAATTTTAATAGTTTTTTCCTTTCTTAAAATGTGTATACATTTTTTGACATCCTCTGTATATTTACTGTGTAATATATACTATATATATGTGTGTGTGTGTATACACACACACACACACACACACACACATTGGTACTAAAAAGGGAACACATTCTTTCTGTCAAAGAGATCCACCTTGGTCACTGTATCAAAGATAGTCCAAAGCACTGCAGCCAGTGGGGACGAGGCAGTTTTTAATCCTCTCTGCAGCTCAGTGATTGCAGTAGGCACATCATGCACTTGAGAGCATCCTGGCTGTAGTGCCCTCGCCAAGGTGCTCCCCAAATCTGTGAGACAGTGAAGTCTAAACTTCAGTTGAGTTTTTTCGTGGTACATTTAGTGACGTGCCTCATCTGAGGGAATGCTCAAGGTGAATCCGACACCGAAACACATCAGCGTGTCTTATACCAAAATGTCCTACTGAGCATGAGAAGTAGTTCACGACCAGCTCTTCTGCCTGGGAAGACGCGAAATTGTTCGAAGCAGATGAGTGATGTTGTCTAAAGCTGTGACTAATCTATCTTCCCAGCACCACTTTCCACGTGGATTGTTATCATCACTCACATGTTTTCTGAGCTCTTTCAGGTAATCACTCAATGTCTCCCGTGGGCACAAGGCTGAGGGAAGACACCACTGGTCATTTTCAAAAGGTACTTTGTTTACTCAATTATGTTCAATTTCTATTACTTATTACTATTAAGTGACTCAACACACACACACACACACACACACACACACACACACACCATGAGTATTAACTGTTTGGGATTTTCTGCAAACCATTTATATTTCCCTTAGCAACCAAAGGATGATTCCCTAGGTACGTAGGGCTGTTACACCTGTAATCTATCAATTTATGTGAAGACTTTCCACTGCAGCCATTAAAACAGAAACTTTTAAAAAATGTACACACACCTAGCCAAAATTCTCAAAAGCTCAACACCAATGATTTAAGTATGTTTTAAGTAAAAGTCAATTAAGTACCTAAAATTGCCATAAGAAATTATACTTACTGTATCAGAGATCAGTATTGCATCTCCAAACAAACCAAGGAATGCATATTCAAAACTCCAGCAACTTCGATGCCTAGTGAAGAGCTTAAAACAGCTTCCTACTCTGTAAATTAAGGGACTAAAGTATAGGATCCTTTAAAATTTACTGCTGGATTTATAAAACCCTTGACGATTTCTCTCTTTAGTACAATGAAAATGAGAGAAATTGGGTAACAAACCTGTCAAAGAATGAAGGGAGGAAGGGGTCATTATGCAGCTGCTATGATAACACGTCATTCTTTGTCTACACTGAAAACCAAGAAAAAATTCAAATTTTGTGAAGAAATTGGGCAAAGTGGACTAAATTATTATTATTTTTGCTTCCTCAAAACTCACAATTAGAAATGGTATAATTTCTAATAGAAAACAAGAACACAAACTTCCCAAATTGAAAAGTACCAACATTCTGGACAAGAAGTAAACACATATTTATCCTGAGTAAAAACTCTGTTACAGCAACAAGACAAATTTTGACATAGAAAAATACCTGTTTAATTTTAGAAACAAAGTAGGGAGGCAGAAGGGAAAAACTAACTGCGATGAACCAAAAAAGAAAGAAAAGAAACCACTTCCATATTCATTAAATACACTGTCTTGTTATTTTCACTGACAGTCAAACCTTTTTGACATCCTTTTCAGTACCAGACTGGAGAGGTGTCAACAGATCTTATTTGGTCTTGACAGTGTGCAAAGAGTTTACAAACCTAACTAAATTTAGAATTAGTAGGAGTTATGCACTTATATTCTTTATACATAGGAGAAGGGGAGTGGGGAGGCCCTTTTATGCCAGCTTTGAGTTTGGCTTGAATTTTTATGACTTATTTAGAAGCCCTAGGGAATGAAAAGTCTCTGGAAATACTGACACAGTTTTAAATATAGTGACATGAACAAGCACTTCTATGAGATTGCACCAGGATGTGACTGACCACTGCAGCCAGTCTGAAATGCATAGAGCATCAGAAAATCAATTGATTGAATTGTAGAAAGTAATGTCGAAATATAAAAAACACCCTTGCAGAATCAAAATTTCATGTCGATAAACTTGTTTTTTTACAGGAAAATGTATAAAATATATGGGATCTTGACTCTCACATGAGGAGGAGTGAAAATGAAAAATTTCTGCATAAACTTTCTCCAATTCTATCGTGTGATTAAAAAATAGTCATTCTTAAAAAGTCAAAGCTGTTATGTCAACCTGAGAGTGAATGTGGCAAAAGAGTTTAAATCAATGGGTCTAAATCTGTGCTTTGTTTTTTGTCTCACCTACAAGGCAATGTGCTAGATAAAGATAGACAACAAGTATCATTACTTAAGTGAAGTCAAAGTCATCAAAGCTTTATTTGTATTTGTCTATCTGCTATACTCTTTATTCTTTGGTGGATTTTCTTTACACTAGCTAACCTTTTCCATTTATCACCCTTGTATTGTCTTGAAAGTCACTCTTTTATTTGAAAATCTGGTTCGTTTCATTTAATGCTAAGTTTTTATTCTGAATCTCTTAAATGTCTCATAATTTTAAGTTTCATTTTGTTTAATTTTTTTCCCTCTAGTTTTAACGTTTTTTGTTTTTGCCTTTTCTTTTGACCCATTTAAAGTTATTTAGGACCATTTTCTTTCTTTTATCATGTCCACAGACACAGATCATCATATACATATGTATATTAAAATGTCTTTTATGACTTGAGACAGACAGACTAAATCTTTAAAACACTAACTCATTCATTTAAGAAACAGTTATGGAGCAAATCTGTGAAAAACTGTACTAAGTGCTAAGGGGACTATAAAAATGAATAAAACACATTTCAGTGCCTAAAAGAGCTTTTAATACACATAAGGCAGTGAGAATCAGCACAAAAGAAGAGAGAATATAGCTGCATTTCAGAAAACAGTTTGTTTACATTCACACACATAGGAAACCAGTGTTATATTATTCTTAGGTACCACATAGAGGAAATACAACATACAAGAACAAAAAATCTCAGGATCAAACACAGCCCTTAAAAGTGTGTTGATTTTCTAAACTGAGCTGCCATACACTTTTAATTTGTCTGTACATGTTGTTGAATGGGGCTGTAAGTCTCAGCACCTACATTTAGATTTTTCAGGCTCTCACATGATACCAAATAACAAACAAAGAAAAGCGAATAAAAAGCTAACACCCTAAAGGAGACAGCAAACTGCTCATGCCAATAGTTGTTCCCTTTTTCTGTTTTCGTTTGCCATTAATCTCTTGGTATTTTGACATTAGGTGTGTCAATTTCATTTAAATGAATATAAATTTCATTTAAAGTTTGCAAGTGAATCCATGAAAAATATTTAATTTTAAAAAATCAAGCTAATTTGAATTTCAGAAATAATCCATGTGAACGTGTTTTCTCATCATCACTGAGAAATATTTAAGAATCACCTGTGTTTAGAACAATGCTTAAATTTGTATAATTCGATAGCAATCTCAGTTTTAAGATTACCACTTTGAAATAATTAAAAAAGATCCCTTTGTAAAAGGCTATCGGAAAGACATTCTTTAATCAAAGGAGGGAGGCGTGAATTTAGGATTGTGGTTAATCCTAAAATTACTGATTTGAAGGGTGGGAGGGCATAAAAAAGCAACAGGGGGAGGAAGTTTAAAGAACAGAGAGGATGTATAGCCCACACGCTTGCTGTGTTTAATATTATACTCATATGTTTAGGAGAGCAGAAATCCTACATTTTAAAAATTGGTACTTAAATTTCTATCTGGAAATTTCACTTACGTGGAATACCTCATTCCCAGATGGTGTTTGAAAAGTGAGGTATTTTTGTAGTAAAGATACAAGACAAGAAATTGGATAACCTTTCAAGTATCCTTTAAATGTCACTAACTGGGCTGCTGATAGAGGGTTTTATGATTCTCTGCTGGAGTACATCAACAGTCATTTGCATGCCAGGAAAAGAATGTCTGGAATAATCCAAAATGGCAAAGCTGAATTCTTTCACAAAAAAATCAGGAAGTGACAAGCACAAAATGGGAAACAAAAGAAGAAAAAAGTGTCCAAAGTAGACTTACTGGTCAACAAAACCCCAAAGAAAAGCCCAGCATACATAGTTGACCCATGAACAATGCAGTGGTTTGGAATGCCAATGCCGTGCAGTAGAAAAATCAACATATAACTTCTGTCTCTCCCAAAACTTAACTGCTAATAGCCTGCTATGAGCTGGAAGCCTTATGGATACCATACACAGAGTCAATTAACACATATTTTGTGTGTTAGATGTATTCTATACTGTAGTCTTACAATAAAATAAGCTAGAGAAAATAAAATGTTATTACAAAAAATATAAGGAAGAGGAAATATATTTATAGGATTTATTGAAAAACAATCCGCATATAAGTGGGCCTGCGCAGTTCAAGCCCCTGTTGATCCAGGGCCTGCTGCACACAGAAACATACACTATCCTTAACAGCTGGCTCTTGAGGAAGTCTCCTCTTGACTGCCACGCAGCTTTCTTTAAGCTACCCCCAAATACAAAACCTAAAATTGATGAAACATAAATTAGGAGTGAACATAAATTATTCACTGCTCAAAAAGATCTTGCGAGGCATGTCTTTCATCTTTCCTCCACTTCATTCAACTACAGTTTCTTTGACCAGGAGCCTAGCACAAAGCCCAGAGCTCCACTGAGCCTAACATAGGGCCCATGGGCAGTGGCTCTAATAAACGTTTTTGTATGTGGAATGAACGCATGAAAAAGCACCTCATGTATGAATGGAAGGTAGCCCAGAAAAGTACCTGTTAACTCCACTGTTTAGAACTGAGAGTGCATTTCTCAAAAAAAAACAACAACTATACCATAAGTTAAGATTAAATTCAGGGTTAACTCAATGGTTTATTAAACTCATGAGCATACTTGCGTTTTACTACTGGTGATACCAGCTTAAATTCTAAAGTACATGAGTGTACAGAAAGAGAGGGAAGAGAGACCATCTCTTCCTTTGTGGGTCATCATTAGCCAAGAAAAAAATGTTTGGCAATGGTATTTAGCCTTTGTCATCCTCCCAAAATTTCTTACTACTTCCCAGTTTCTTTTTCCTCAGTAACCGAAATGCCTCATTCTCTCATTTTGCTCCAACAGTGGCAGTTGAGTCCAAATGGACTCTACCTTCCCAAGTGTCCCATGTACCAAATAGATGACTTCTTTTCTCTCTTCTTTTTTTTCATGGATATTCACATCACTCAAGTGGAGAGGCAGCTAATCTGATTAATTCACATTAACAGAACCAAGAATCCCATCGGCCTATATGTTTTTGCCACACCAGATGTGTATTAGTATGTAGGTATTTTAGACAGCTTAACAAGATGAGGTTTAAACATTCAGTCTTGTGGGAGCAGGTGAAATTTATGAATTATATGCCGGTGGAACAGTGGGGCTCAAAAGTTGATCATTTGTGAGCTGTAAAAAGAAAAGAACAGAATAGGGACCTGTCCTCAAGCTGAGCAACAGGAGAAGGGAAACCCACACATTTAATTTCAAGACTTGCCTGTTATCCCCCATCTGTATACTTCTTAACTTCTCCCCTGTCCTTCAGTAAAGAGGAACATTTAATAGATTTGGGCAAATCAAACTCTGGTCCAAGGTAGGAAAGGCTCCAGTGATGACTTACTCTGTAAGGTAGCACAGATGGCACATAGCTGCTACTTGGATGCTCCCACCTGAAGACTATGAGCCCTGACTCAACGGGAATGGAGGTGGACATGATGGCTAGAGTCCTTATCCTGATACCTTAGAGCAGACCCATCTAGGGTCTAGTGGCCTGCAGGTCAGTTTATGATGGGAGTTGACCCCATCAAATATCTGAAAATTATCATCTGTTACCTAACATGATGAGAATGTATTGTAACTTTAATTTAGATGACTTAGGTCAATGGACAACATGAAGTAAATTTTCTTCAGTATTACTTAATTGTCTTTAGAGACAATGACCTTAATAATTCTAATCAATTCTAATGTTATAATTGCTGCTGTCAGAAATGTATTAACCCATATTTATTGAGAGCTTACTATGCCTCTGTAAAAAAGAACATTTTCCCCCCCCACATGATGTAGGAGACTGAAGATTACAGAGAAATATTCAATGTCTACATAAAATCAATGAAAACATGTTTGTATTTACTTTGATGGTATGTAGCAATATCTTTAAATAGGGTTACTACTTTATAATCTACCAGGAGTCTCCCTCCTAGAATTTAACATGAACAAGTGAAAATGAAATTCAATGATACATTATCCTTTCACACATCAATTCTTTCATTTTGGCTTTTTGATTCCATCTATTTAATGAAATGCATCATGAGATACCAACTCCTTTACAGAAATGGATGGAAAAATGGGTAATTTTTTGTTTAGCACAGATAAACTAATAAATCGTATTTAAATGTGATCAACTCTTGAAAAAAAATTTTAAAGTTGAAATCTTTGTGCTACTATAAAACTGGGAAGGGGTGTGGTGTTTAGTAACAGTAGACTTAGAAGATTTCTATTTAGATGAGGAAAGAAAGATAAAACCAGAAGGAATTGAAGAATCCAGAGTAAGTCTGTATGCCAGAGAAATCCATAGCAGTTGCTCAGAAAGTATTTATTGAAATCCCCTGTTCTACTATTTATGCATGAGTGGTAACCCAGCTACAATTGCAGCAATGTTGACACTCAGTTCCCAGAGAAGATAGCCATTTATTGTTTTGGTCTTAAATTTAGCAGACCAGTCTTACACCACCAGTCTTTCTTAATTCTCCATCCACAAAACCAAAAAAATGTATCCTGTTCTTTTAAAGTTTATAAACATGCATGGAAAACCAGAAGTTTACGTGTCTAGGCTGCTTTCTCATTGCTTGCATAACTAAAAAAATGGGCTTTTATTTAAAAATAGAAGTTGGCAAACGAGGAGTCCATTGGAATGCATTAATAAAAATAAATGGCCAAGATATTTAACTTTGAAAAGCATCAACTACACAGGCATGTTATTCCCGCTTTGATTTTTTTTTTTTGTCACCTCTGAAAAGAGCATGCATTTTCAGAAGACTCCATTACACTGGGTAAATTTCAGAGACATATGACCTTGCTTTTATTAAGCAACATACAAAAATTTATAAGAAATTTTTAAAAATAGACTTTCAATCACTTTACTTCATCAAAATTAATTTTCATTGTTCCAAAAATCTTTCTGGTTTCTGTCTATACATATTTGTATTGCCGTAATTGTATCCAGTGTTTCCACACTTTTAAATTGTTCTTCACTTAACATTACATTATTAATATTTCTCATGTTATTTCATAGTCAGTAGCAATATAAAATTTTTGAGTTTTATGCTGTCTTAATCTGGTTTGTGGTTAGGATAACATTTACATTTTTAAAAACTGAGAGACTGTCCACATTTTTGTATGCTTTAGAAAAATGTATAAAGCATGGAAATTAATTACTTCTTCATAGTTTGAAAGAAATCCAATGAGTCTATCAAGTCGTGTTTTGGGAACTGGGATTACTAAAAACCTTAATTGTTCCCGAATTAGTGGTGATTTAAAACTCTTCTTATTATGAGTTTATCATTTAATTTGTGTGGCTAATACCAATTTGTGTGGATAATATACCAATTCATTTCATCTATGCATTCACATACAGTATTTTGTCAACAATAGTGAATAGTGTTTCATCATAATTTCAATAATATTTTTTGTTTAATACCTATATAGTGACTGCTATATCTCCTTTCTCATTTATAACTTTAATTTGTGTCAATTTTTGCTTATTTCTTTTGACTGCTTTCAAAGAGTCAACTCTTTATTTATGTATTTTTCAGCTTTCCACTCTTTTTTTTATTCTTTTTTCAGCGATCTGTATTTGAATGACTTGATTTATTTTCCTTTCTCTGTAAATTAACATTAATAAAGCTTTAAATTATCTCCAAGTTCTGCTCCGGTCACATTAAGTTAGATGTTTGTATGTAGTTTTAAAATTTTTGTTACTAGAGCCATAGTCTTTTATTGCACCTTTTACTTTTTCCTAGATCCAGTTATTTACAAGACTATTTTTGTATTTCGGACTGTTTGGAGTTGATTTCATTGTTGGAACTGGAGATGCAAACAGAAAAATGAGGTTGATTTAAGACTTTAAAAATATAGTGAGGTTTTTTTTTTCTGATTCCTCAGAGATAACATATCTTATACACATTTGTAGACACTTGAAAATCAGATTTCTGGCTAAGTAGTCTGCAGGGTATATTAAACAGACCAAATTTATAAATTCCTTTATAAGACTTGATATGCTCAGGACTAAATGTTGTGACATTTGTGTCCTATTTAGCATAAGGCCTAGCATACCTTAACTAATCAATAAATAACTGGTGGCAGTATGTTTAATAATAACAGTTAATAGTCTAGTACTAGTTACGTTAGTATGTGTAATAACCATAATAGTCTAGTACTAGTTATGTTAGTATGTGTAATAACAATACTTGTCTAGTAGTAGTTTAACGTTCCTCCTACCTCTTGTGCAGGCTCGGCTGCACTACTGATCTGGAGAAAAATAATGAGATGCATGTTCTTGGACTGGATTTTCTAGTCTATGACATAATGTGGCAGGACTAGATGCTTTCTGAAGTTATCTCCAGCTCTAACATTTCTAAGCCTCATTTGTTGGCATTTTCAGGAACCGGACTCTATCTACATCAGATGTAGGTCCCTCATATCTTTTGTTTTGAAGCAACTTGCTCAAGCACTCTTTATGCACAAAGCTCTCTGGGAACTGAAGTCAAGATAGAAAAGTTTACCAAACTCGCTACTCCATCTGAAAGTTTTGTAGGTAGGAGTCAATTCATTATTTCTGGAATGAAAGTAAAATTTTGAAAGCTATTTATCAGCCCGACTTGTGCTTTCCAGGAATAAAAGTAAAATTTCCAAAGAAATTTAAGCCAGACCTATACTGTTCCATCACAAAAGTCTTGGCACCCATGCTAATTTGTGTTCATTTTCCACCATTATTAGCAATCAAAGAATTTAAGAAAAAAGATGGGATACCATTTGCATGGCTGGCTATGGAATCCAGGACATTCCTCCACTAAAATTTATTCATAAAGGCCAATATATACATATATCCTCTAAGAATGTTTATCATTAAGATTAAAAATTATTATTAAGAATGAAAATTCTTCTTATTATTAAGAATGAAAATTTTCCCATCATCTACTAACAAGCATATCTGATAATTAAAAAACAAAACAAAAGCTTTAAAACTTTATGGGCAATATGTGAATATTCTGATGCAAAACAATAAAAATTATGCCTTTATACCTGTCCAAATAAACCTCTCTGCTGCAGTTTTGATGGTTTTAAACAAGGTATCACAAAAAACACAGACTTACCTGTGCGATAGACAAAGTTGCCTTCGGTTTCTGATGACGAGGGAGACACTAATTCTTCCTCAAATTCATTAGAACTAAAAGAGCCTGAATGGTTTCTTTGCCTTGTCTTTCCCATCATGGCAGCATTTGTGGCCATGACATGTCTCAAAGAGTCGTTAAGGTAACGGTTCAACAAGCTGCTCTTGTATTTTGGGGGTGACACGTAGTCCTCATTGGCCCGTGACTCTGGCCTCACTCCAGCTTTTATGACTGAGCTCTCACTTTTAATCACAGGATGGTGAACCGGATTATTATAGCCCCCTTCATTCATGTGGCTTCTTGGAGGGTTTTCTCCATCTGAGGGGAAAAATATCACTAGGTAATACTTGCGCATACTTTTCCCCAGCCACCCAACTGTTACATTCAATCATTAAAAATACACACAAAGAAAGAGTATTTAAAGTGTATAAAATTATCTCAGATAGTCAAGGTTAATGTTTAGGCAAAGGAAAGGAGGAATCTAGGTAAGCTCTCCCTATGGCATTTTAATTTTAATGAATTTCACAGAAAATGTTATTCTGACACACAATAAATCTATAAACAAGAGGAAACAGCCATAATTCTGTTGGTCATTTATAGTATTGTAAAAACAAAGTTACCTCATGCAATAAAAAAGAACCGTTATGGCACCATCATGTTTTGTGGGATTGACCTTAAAAATAGCAATTGAGGTGAACTTCTTATTACAGAGGCAAAGCCAAGCAAGCAAAATAAAAATACGGACAAACCTTCGGAACACGAGTCATCACTGCTGACACTAAGCCGCTCAGCATTTCCTTGAACATACTTGTTGTACAACTTTATTCTTAAAGCCCAGCTTAAATCTGGCTGCCGAACAGTATTCTTAAGCCGACGTCTTGCATTAGCAAACCAATTTGACACCTAAAAAAAGCATTATTTTTCAATTAACAAAATATAAAAAATTACCCATCATACAATTCCTATAAGGAATCTAAGCCTTTCTCAGTATCTCTGATCATTCAATATTCCCAGGATGTAACCAGTACTGAACATTCATTCCATTCGTTCATTCATTCATCAACAAACATGCTGAGTACTTACTACAGAGATTGAGCAATTACTGTATTCTGGGAATTAAAAAAAAAATGAAGAGGCCTTGCCATCAAATTTTCAGTGTAATAAGAGAGGTAGGAGTATATACAAATAACTATAATATAGGAAAGAATGTGAAGAATGGCTTAAGAGGCATTAAAATAAAATCATACAGGAATCCAAAGGAAGGAGGTGTTACTTTTATATGTGACTCAAGACTTCATGAGCAATTTAAGGTGGGCTTTGAAAGACCATATCAGGTATAATGGTTAGAGAAGCGTGTTCCCAGTAAAGAGGACAATGGAACAAATGTAAGTCGAATTCCAGAGACATGGTGGGTGAGGAAGAGGGGAGTTAAAGACGGCCTTGAGTCACCAAACCTGTGTAATCATGAAAAGGATAGAGCTATTTTGAGAAAGAAAGGAGACCTGTTTAAGGGTAAAATAATGTGTTTGTTTGGGGAATGTTTAGTTTTAGGCACCAGAAAAGCATACAGGTGAGATGTGCAGCAAGAAAATAAAAATGGTACCTGAACGCTTAAGGGAGAGGAAGAACAGATTTGGGTGGAACGCACAGAGGTGATTACACCATAAGTTGTGAGAGGAGGCAGAATGATAAAGTGGTCAAGGACCAATCCCTGGAAACCTCCATCGATTAAGGAGGTAGGACTATAAAAGAGGAGCTGGCAAAACAATCAGAGATAGAGCAATAAGACAAGTGGAGGGAGAAAAAAAGCCAAAAAACATCCTCATGAAGCTGAAAGTCAAGTGCTTCCAAAGAAATGAACACTGCAAAGCAAAGCTACTTCCATTGTTTTTATAAGGTGCTATTAGATTTCTAGAGGCTAAAATGGTACTTGAGGTTTCTTTTAAAATATCAGGCTATCATCATAATATATATACTAAAAACTTGAAGGGCTGATATTTGCCTTTGAAAGAATGAACTGTGGAAAGAGAATTACATCTTTCTGCCAATTTGTTCCAGAATACAACCCCACATTACCATAATGGTTTGTGTGGTGATGCTTGTACTGGAAGTTCCTTTTTTCCTTTTTTTCTAGGTTTATAGTATAAATACACAAATTTTGCATCATGCTCAAGCCCTAATTGTTGAATGGACCTGTGGTGATGATTACTTTTAAAAAAAACAAAGCTACAACATGTTTCCCTTTGTCCCCATGGATAAAACATGGTAGTTTTTTCTAGTTTACTTATATATATATATATATATATATATATATATATATATATGCACAAAATATATCATATGTTATGTGTGTATACATATATATATATATGTGTATGAATATATATATATATGTATATATATATATTCAATATTACCTAGTACCTCCTCTATGTCTTTTCAATGATAATTATCCTCTTAAACTTATGTGCAATGAGGTAATATTTCACCATGGCATTTCAGAAGCCTTAGTCTTCATCAACCCCTCTTCTTGTCAAGCTGTGCAGTCTTTTCCAACCTCTATAGACAGACAACTTCTGGGGCTACTCCTCCAACAAATACATATCCCATATATATATATAAAGCTCCTTTGCTTTAGCCATGGTGGTAAGTGCTAGGAATGGATAAACTTGGTCCCTAGCACACACAGAAGGACCTGCAGTGAAGAACTGTACATAATTAACTGTGATACATGGATGGCTTATTGCTGTGGAAACACAAAATGCCTGATCCACTTCTTCACCACATTTCTCAAATCTCCTCCTATGCTGCAAGTCATGACCAAAGCGCCCAAGTCCTCGTTACTACTAACTCGGAATTTTAGGACATTCTTTTTTCAAACTTCCTTTCCACTTAAAAGGATCTTAACAAGCACCATCAAATTCAAGCTGATGCACCGTTATGACTCCATTGCTTAACTTCTTCAAATCCTCATTAATGTCCTGGTATCCTATAACTGTGGTATGGTAGAAAGAGACCTGGTTTACTGTCCTGAATTAGCCAAAAACACACTGCATGAACTGAGGTAAGTCACTCACTTTGCTGAACTTCAAACCCTTCATCTACAAAATGCATTAGATGGTCCCTAACATCCTTGTCAACTCTAAAAATTAAGATCTGTGGATATAGCCCAACACTCTCCTACAACAGTATTAATTCTCTTTATAGTTGGTAGTAATCAACCTTCCGCTCTCGACCACTCTCTCTAGCCATCAGATGTGTGTGTTTATATCCTTCTCTGACCGTCTCATACACAGAGGACACACTGCAACTTCCTCTCTGTCTATGCCACATATTTATGAGAATCTAACTCCCTTTTTGTTACTTTCTTTACTAAACATCATATAATTCAGATAAACCTTGAATCTTAGCTAACTTTAATTCTTAACTAACCTTACATCTCAACACAACTACCACATAGTACAGTGTAAAATCCAGTTCTTATAAAATGCTTCATATTTTTATTAAAATGCAATTTTAATTTCAGAAAACATTAGCATACTATAATTCTAATGTAGAAAAATGGGGACCTTTAAATGTCATGGCGGAATTAACTAGCTTTTCATATATAGGGGTCATATCCTTTTTTATGTTTTATATATCCATAGTATATTAATTATATATTAGGAGACTTTCCAGAAAGGTTTGCTATGTCTAATATAGGCTGTTTCTAAATTGATTTCATAAGTTTGACGGGTACCCAATCTGCTAATATATTTACTCTGCCAGTATTTCATTACCAGAAATTTACAGTATAGCCAAAAGAACTGCTTATATTCTGAGGTGTTTAATATCTACTTGTATTAAGTTGTGCAAACAGCAGATAAATAGTTGGTAACAAATTTGCATTAATATTATTTTGCAATTATTTTCCTGAAGAATGAATGGAAACTCCATCTGTTTCAGTGAAGATAAAAATATCAGTTCAGGTTTTCTACCTTTCACTTACTATAGGTTCCTTCAGTTACCATTCAAATTCTTTTAAAATTCTGTTTTACATGAAGCAGGACTCCTTACCAAGGGTCGGTTCTGGAAGAGCATTCTAATGCTGAATTTTAAAAACACTGTATTTTATAATGAATGCTTGGAGAACCAAATATCTAGAAACTAGAAGAGAAAATGAAGTAGTTTTCATCCTACTCTAACAGAGTGTCTACATTCATAATATTGACTGAGCAGTCCTTACAGTAAACCCAAAGGGATATGCTGTCATCTGTTCATCTGTGAACATACAGAATTAACAAACTTATTCTGAGTTACTCAACTGAAATTTTGAGCATCTCATTTGCACACCATGTCATATAACACTTGGAATAATGTAGCAGGATCTTTCTAAGATTTTGTTGAATATTTAAAAGTTGCCCTTACAGTTAATAACTACATATATATCTCAACACAAGCTCTCATACCAAGCAAAAACAGGGCTATGTCAACATAGAGGCAAAATCTTACAATGGAGCAGTTTTAACCAAATGGGCATAGACATATCCTAGAAATTAGAAAATTCTACTGTAAGAGGAGGAAGCATTAACATCCCCAATCATTAAACTGCACTCTGTATCATAATCATGAAAGAAATCATCCCAAGGAGACATTTCACTTATATAGTCCAGAAAAAATATAAATATATTTAAAAATATACATACACATAAACAATGGAAACATACTAAAACCAGATACAGCCTCCATCTGCCCTTTTAAAAACTCTCCAAAGCCAATTATTTCTTGGTAAGATCCATTTCTTACAATAATACAAAACCCCAACTGTATACCACTTTATATTATTCCACAATAAAACTGTTTATGTTTTGAAAGTACAGGGTATAGTTTTATAATGTTTGAGTAATGGCCAGCCATAGGAACCAAGCACAGTGGAAAATTTTGGTTGGTTAGAGTCAAAATGCGCGCGCGCGCACACACACACACACACACACACACACACACATCATCTCCCTGTTAAATTTATAAAAATGCTATATCTCATTAGGAAGTAAGAAGCCAGATGAATAATGTAAATGAGAATCAAACATAACTATAGCACATTAAGACAAGTTGCCAAGTTTAGTGAGGAGGAAAAAATGAAAGTTGTGTAAATAATTCTTTCTGCCTAATTTTCCAGGGATAAATAATGTACGTGCTGATTCATGTCCTTAGAGCTTCTATTTATCAGAAAAAGTACCTTTTGTGGTCCTAAAGATATTTCCTCCACTAAAGTTTCAGCTTTTTGTTTCTAGGCTTAATGGAGATTGATAACCAGGTTTTACAGCCTCTTTATCAATTTAAGAATGACAAAATAAGACAAAAATACTTCTCATGAAAAGTTTGACAGTTTGACACACAATGAAAAGGAAAATATTAAGTGTAAAAAATTATCAAAATATATGGTAGTCTTGTAATTAGGGAATAAAAGCTTATTAACATAAATCATGAGAAACAGAGATAGGAGGTGTTGCAATAAACAAGAAAAAGGAGTTTGGAACCCAAAATAAGGGGACACTCCATATTTGTCTACAGACACAAAAATATGATGTATGTCCAGATACTCTTGCTTGTTTAGTAGAATCATCATATAGCATTAAAGATAGTGAGCTGCATTCTGTGTATTCCTTAAAATGGGATGGATTTTAAAACTAGACTAGACTAGAAATCTTAGTCAGATTTCAAGACATTCTCTAGTTTTCAGAAAGGTGTTTTTGAAAGCCACATAGTGATAATAGTGGTGTTTCCCCTGTTAGAGCCTATTTACTCTATAAACACATAGCGATAGTTTACTATATGGAAAGTACTATGCTGGACGGTATGGGGGTATGAAGATAAATAAGACATAATCACTCTTCTCAAGAAGCCTGAATCCACAGGAGAAATTTATTCAGTGGGAGAGCCTAACTCATTATATAGGAGTCTAATTTACAGGGATCAAAAGCTTTATTCAGATCAGAGTTTTATATTTTCCCCCCCCAGAAATGTAAAGTATTTACATAATGTATTTGGTTTCCCATAGAGTCAAATTTGCTTTGAATGTTTAATATACATCTGACTTTTACAAATCTTCCACATATATAAACATATAGGTATGTAGATAGATATGTGTGTATATTTATATATATATAGATATATAGATAGACATATAGATATTTATATATATATATATATATTTCTTACATAGATATATCTCTTATGCCTAATTGAAAATAACTGAACCCAAATAGGATTACATATAAGGTACCTCAGCTGTACCATACATTTTGATTTTTTCCACTTATCACTTTAAATTTCCAGAAACCAACTTCATTTACTATAAAATTGGGAAATCATTAAACAGGTATCACTTATTATTATAAATAATTATCTTTGCCGTATTTAAAAATTACATAATTTTGTGCATTTTTATTTTCTGAGTGTAAGAGAAATAAAATGTAATAAAAAAAGTTTTCATTACATGAATGAAAATTTCATGTAAATTAGAAAAATGTAATAGCCTTACCAAAATCTTAAGGCAAAAGGAATTATTTGTATTTTCACTATCATTACAGGTAGAAAATAATTTGATTCTGTATTAAAATTAAAACTATTCTTATTGCATCTCAACAAAACTACCACACGTGAAAATTTAAATGTCTGCTAATGACCAATGTTACTTTTCATACTTAAAAAAGTGTTCTAAATATGTCACAAGTATTTTTTGCTTTTATATGCAAGGTGGTAAGCATTAAATATAGAACTATATAATCAACCAAAATAATCTGATGTTTTATTGCTAACATCACTGTAAAATATTCAAATAGCTCTATAAATTAGTGTATTCTCAAAATAAATAGCATACCTGTTTAAACTGAAATTTGAACATATGCATGTATTTTCATAAGTCAAGTTTTTCTGACTGGAATAACTTATTTAGAAACTACTTATGTAAATCGCTGAAAGTTACATAGTTTTATGTTAAGCAGATATTAAGCCAAGAACACTAAATTAATTTTCCCCTCCAGTGCTGCAGCAAATCACTATTAATACTATTGCTTGTTAATATAAAGCAAAACAGATGTTTTTCTCTACAATTGTACTCTGAAAAGAAGCAGAGAAATGCATATTATACTTTTAATATGCTTGAACACTAGTCAACTTTCATGCTGTCATATTTTTCAGTAATTCTTAAATGATAATCTTAAACACTCTGGAAAGCAATTTATATATTATCTAATAGTTAACTATTGCTTTTTTATTTTTGGGTTCTCCCTTACTATAAAGTTACTGGAATGACCAAAATTTCATAAATGCAGTGATGTAGTGCTACTATATAATACATGAAACTTCTCAGCTCATTTAGCTCCGCCTCCTGTATGAATACATGTGTTCTGTTTGCATGTATAAAAATTCGTGACACCATATTTATTAAAGAAAACTGCAGTGTGTTGGAAAGAGCATTCCATCTGGAATTACGATACATTATTTCCAGGGCTACCTCTATCCTTACTAACACTTAACCTCCACCTGTTTTGGTTACTCATCTGTAAAATGCTGACAGTAACTTGGGTACATCACTATGTTTTTGTGATTATCAAATAAGATTATGTAGAGAAAAAGCTAGTCAAATGTAAAGTAATGTTCACTAGAGAAGAAACAAACCTGTATCATCTCTCTACACTTGACAAGTAACCCATTTCAAATTTCCCCCTCTTTTATCCTGGGAAAGATACCATCAGGGAAATTTTGGATTCTAGCTAATGCATAGGATGCTTTTCCTTTAAAAAAAAAATCCAAACCTACTTCTTGACCATTCTGCCCACCTCCTAGCTGTCAGTAATGGTAATTTTGAAAATTATCCTGTACTTGACCTTTAATATGGAGCCCTCACGTGGGTTGCCTTTCTGTATGGTTCTCAAAGTATGGTCAGGGTCAGTATTTTCAGCATCACCCCCAGAACTTGTTAGAAACACAAATCATGGGCTCCACTCCAGGCCTACTACTGAATCAGAAACTCTGGGGTGGGGCCCAGCAATTTGTGTTTTCACAAGTCCTCCAGGTGATTCTGATGCACACTCGTTTGAAAATCACTTAAGGTAATCCCATCTGTATCCATCTATATAAAATCCACGAGTTCAGACTCCCAGACACCTTCTCATAACTCTGCGTTCGACTTTTCACTGCCCTCCCGAACAGAACACCATGTGATCCTTCCTGGACCGAGCATTAGTACTGAACTGATAGATAGGCTTGAGAGGATACCCAGAAACTTCCCAGAACACAGCTCTGCCCCTGTGCCAACGCCTCAGCATCTTCTGCAGCAGGAGCCAAAGCATCTGGCCAGCCTTTCTCTGTTCCATCCTTCCCCAAGGCTAGGCGCCAGGTGGAGATCCACACAAACATGAGTGTGCCCGCTGCTCACCCTTTTGCCAGGAGACGGATCAGGGGCTTGGTGGGCCCGGATTACCTGCACTAGCGTCATCTGCGAGCCGAGCGCCAAGAGTATCTTCTCCGTCTTGGTGGGATACGGGTTGTCACGGTGCTTGTAAAGCCATTGCTTGAGGGGCCTTGCCATGTCTTGTAGGGCCTGCCGCTTGTGCCTCACCTTCCCGCCATTCTGCCGAGCCCTGGACACAGGGAGAGGAGGAGGTCCTGGTGAGCGGCGCCGTCTGGACGCTGCGTGCCGGGATCCCCAAGTGGGGAAGCATTTCAGCGCCGCCGAACCCTCGCCCGGCACCCCCAGGGCACTCAGCCCAGCCGCGCAAACCCACCCCGCGCGCCACAAGGGCGAAGCGAGGGAGCCACACAATTTCTGGGAGGGAATATCCCTTCCTGAGCATCTCTCTCTCTTTGAAATGGTCTGGTTGTCGCATGAGGGCTTCTGTGGCAATGAGGGACCCTAGGTTTATCTTGAAAAGGGGAAATGCCAGTAACCCGAGGTGAGAGGTTTAGGTGACGTTGGTTAAGTGATTTGAAAGAAAATGTTATTTAAGCTACAGATCTGTACAGCTGTCACCCTTCCCTAGCCAGCCTGCACTGCGCCCTTCTCAGAGGCCCTGGCCTAACCGGCTGGGTGGAGGTCACTGCCAGTCTCTTGATAGTTCTTTCAGAGAATTCGCGCCTAACGCTTAGGGCTTCCTGTTGCCTGTCGTCAAAGGATAGGTCGCCCACTGGACGGCGGCAGTAAAGCAAGGGAGGACAGCCGTCCCGTTGCCCTAGTTCTCTTGGAGCTTTCTCCAGTTTCCTTTGATCCTCTGGGGAAAGGAGAAACTTTCCAAAGGAAGGGTTCGTGAAGGAAGGATGCTGAACCTAAAAACCACGCTAGGGGTCTTTTCCCGACATAAGGGTAGTTAAAAAGCCTGCAAAGCTCTGTCCCATTAAGTAAAAAGACCTCGGGGAAAGCATAGAAGGGAAGAGACCAGGGGCCCGGAGCCGCAAGTTGGGCGCTGCGCTCCCAGGCGGTTCCGGGAGGTGTCGCCGCGTGGCCGCCCGTGCGCCAAGCCACTCCGGGAGACTCGCACGCCTGCGCCGCAGCCTCCCCGGCCTTTGCCGCTTTAAACACTTTGAAATGCAATTCCATCTGAAAGGACTGGTAGTAACATTTTGACGAAACCTAATCTCTATTTTACTAACCAGCAGCGCCACAGAACAAGCAGCTGATGCAATCTTTCAGGTGGAGACGGCCAGGGCGGCCGCCCCTCCCCAACCCCAAGCTCTGGGAGCCGCCGGGAGGTGGCCCGGTTAGAGACGGCCGTCCACGCGTCTGCAGTCGGAGCATCTGGCCCACCCGCGAGATTTCTCCCCCCCTCCCCCCACTCCCCACCCCTGCCAGCAGCTCCTCACCCTGCTAAACCGAAATCTGGTCCGGCAGGCCTACGGCCTACCCCTCGCGGCTGGCAGCGAGCCCCAGCGAGCCGCGTGCGTCTAAGCCGCCCTGCGAAAAGGCGACCTTCCCAACACTTTGGCGAACCGCGAGGCGGTGGCGCGGCCCGGTCGTGACAGAAAAGGGGTAGCCCAGGGGGACTGGCCTGATCTGGGAATTCCTGACTACTGCTTGGCCCTGCCATGTTACTACAATTCCTATTCAGTCCTTTCTACCTGGATCTCAGCCGCGCGTCTGCGCCCGCGGTCGGGAGAGGGGCAGATAACCCACCACCCTGAGGTCCAGGTATGGGAGGACTGCGGGTGTAGTCCCAGGTGTCCTCAGATTCCAGTAAGCCTCTTTCGAGCTGTCTTGACGAACTGATCCCCCCATATTTTGAGAAAATACTACCTTATAATGGCAATGCGCAATACCAGGAGGCGGAGACCTGCCCTTCCAGAAAACTCCGTGCTCCTAACCAGCGAGCCCCGGTTGCCACTTGCACTCTAGCGGCGTTCACCGCCCCAACCCCTCTGGGATGCGGGCAGGCAAGAGCCCCGGAAGTGTGAGCATACCCGGTCCTCCGGTGTCTCAGGCCGAGGTTGTCCTTGAGGGGCGGACCCTCCGGAATGCCCACCTCAGGGCGGGTGTGGGGACTGTCCAGGACGCCGCCGTAGGGCCGGCTGCCCCGCTCCCGTTCCGCAGCGCCGTGGTCCTCAAAAAGCACGGCGCCGCTGAGCTTGTCGAAGACGATGGTGTTCATGGTGCCGGCTGGCAGAGGCTCCCGGTGCGGCCGGTGCGCCTCGGAGCCGGGCCGCCAGGAGCTCCGCAGGGCTCAGGTTCTAGGAGATGAAGATGCATCACGTTACTCGCTGAGAGCGCTCACACCCTAAGCGATCGGAGCCCCGAACTTGGCTGAGGCGCAGCGGCTGCGGAGTCCTGGGAAGGAGCAGCACCGCCTCACCTGAATTAGGGGTACCGCTCCTCTCCCTACCTGGCTACACCGCTCCCCCTTATCCCCCCCCCAACCCGCACTCTCTGGGGACAGGTCCCTCCCTCCTCCTTAACCCGGCGATCGAGCCTCCAAGACAACTCAACCAGGAAGGGTGTACCCGCGGCGGCAAAGGAAAGTGATTCCTAAACGAGCCTTCCTGCCTCGGTTTTAATCTGGAAGAGGCACGCTTCAGATAGCGGAGCGCGATTGGCGAGGGACTCCGCGTTGTCTCTAACACAACGAAAGGCTAAAGCTTCTCCGAGCTCCCACTCAGGTCGTAAAGACGGATTGGAAAAAAGGGAAATTTTAGGGTAACATGAACGACCTCATTTGCAAGCCCCAGTTAATGAGTCCCATTGCCGCACCGGGATTTCAGGGATTTTCACGTTCTCTAGATCCTGGATAGTTTGGCTGAACCCCCTGGGTCCTTATTCCGGTTAAGGTCCCTGGGGTGGGGTTAAGGGCAGGGAAAGTTAGCAGACGGCAGTGTTAAGTGGCATCAGGGACAAATGCACCACATAACCCCTCTCCCCCAAAGTCTTCCTACCATCCCCCAGCCCGCTCTGGGAAGCGCAGTATCCCGGCAGATCAAAGGCGCGAGAGTCCCAGGACCCCCGAAGCCCGCTGTCAGTGCGATCCTCTTCCGCAGCGCGGGTTCGAGACTCGAGCTCTGAGCCCTTATACACCCGCCCCTTTCTGGAGTCTCGGGGAACCATTTCAGAGTCTGCAAAGGTGCTAGGAGTGGAAGGAGGCTTCGTGGTTCGCGCGCCGCCCGGCCTGTGGCTGCCAAAGTCGGGAAAAGCCTTCAGCTCACCTCCCCGGACTCGGCGGCCGAAAGCCTCCGCCCGCGGCGCGCAGGCGTCAGGGTCAAGTCCGCGCCGCCGCGGAGCAGCCGAGTGACCGCCCCGAGGCGCGCCGCCGTCCCAGCCCACCCCATCTCCCCGCCTCGCGACTCGCGGCAGCTGGCGTTCCTTTCGAGCCACCTCCGCTTCGTAGCCAGCGCCCCTCACCCCACCCCGCCGCGGCGTGGGCTGCCACCCCTCACCCATGTACGGATACTCTGCCTCGCCGAGCGCCCACACTCGCCAACGCCCCCCGCCCCGCCCTCCGGCCACCACAGCAGCGGCCACGCGCGACAATTTAGGGCCATGACCACAGCGATTAAACGACGGCTCCCCTTACAGTCAGGGAGGTGAAGTCAGACCTCTGCTGGCGGCCCCGCGTCCCATAAGACTGAGTCCTTCCGCGCAGACAGGTACGTATCTGGGGTGTAGACACAGCCTCCGCGATAAGTGTGAAAGCAAATTTCTGTCCTCTTAGCCCCGGTTCTAAGGTCAGGACTCCCCTTGTTTTTTCTTTTTAAATCTGCGCGCTTAGTGCTTTGCGTTCACGCTGTTGCATTTGTAAAACACACCTCTTCCGAGCCCCACCGAAAGTTTCCCCCACCCCAGCCTTGTCCTCCTATATCCACTGGTTGTTTTTTGTTTTGTTCCCCCCCCCCCCAGCGAATCCGCCCCCAGGTGAGGCAGAGCGGACCCTTCCCCGGCTGTCCCCAGCCCACACAAGAGATAGAACCAGACAACCCGCTAGGTCTAGGTCCGTAGGCAGCAGGCGCGGTGTGAGGGGGGAGGCAAAGGTCCAAGAGGTGGGTGCTGACGCAAGGGGTCCCGGGGGCGTGCGAACCGCCGCTCCTAAGCCTGCCGGGAGCCCACGCGCGGTCCCTCACGCCTCCTTTCGGCTCCTGTGCTCCCCACTTACCCTGATTCACTCCAAACTGTCGCTTGGAGAGCTCCCTTCCTGCGAAACTGACCCGTCCAACGCCCGCGAACAATTTTAAAGCAAAGGAGGCGCGGCCAGGTGGGCTCCCAAGCGCCTAGCACACCCGCTGGCCAGCCTTGGCCGCCACCCGGGCGCGTCCACTCTGGAACGCGGAGGGGGTGGGGGAAGGGCGAGGGGCTCCTTGGCGCCCGGGGTCAGAACGAGACTCCCATCCCGCGGTCCCGGGCGGGACCCGGCGACCCGAGGGCTGTACCTGGGACAGTGGGGCCGGCAGCCGGCGGCAGGGCGGCTGGCTCTCCCGCGTCGAGGCTAGGCGCACTCCCATCCCCGCCGCATGTTCTCCGCGCGGGCTCCAGCGCGCTCACCGCCGCCACCGCCGTCGTCTCGGCTTTATTTACCCAGACGGGCGCGCGCGGCCCGGGAACAGGAATACCGAGGCCTTCTCATGTTTCCTGACTGCCTGGCCCAGCCGGCGAACATCCTGCGGGCGCAGTATCCACGTTCCCGGGCCGCCGAGAGGAAGCCTTCGCGCCCGCCCGGCCGCGGGGACGGCAGTTAACCCTCGCAGAGGAGCTGCTGCTGCAGGCGCCGCGGGGCAGCCCCCGGCCCTCTGCGTCCTCTCAGCCGGGCCCGGCTCCCAGCTCCGCCAGCCTCGCAGGCGCGGAGCAAAAGGGACTACTACCTTCGCATTTAAGAGAGAAATTGGAGAAATCGCGAGGAGTGCCGGGCTCGGGCTCTGCGAGCTGGGAGGCTGCGGTGCAAATCCCGTGTCTTAGCTGGCCCGAGTGTCGGAAATTTCACCACAAGTGGCTGGGCGGGAGAGACCACTACGGCGCGCCCTTTATTTTCCTCGCCATTAGCTGGAGTAAAGTTAGAGCTCGGGTTTGCGCCCATAACAATTGAACTTCTTGCAGGAGGCTCTTGAGCCCCGGGAGCCTCTTTTCTGGTGTCCCTGGGCTTTCGAGGTCCTGGCTGTCTCAAAGCCAGGCACACACATTCATCTTCTGGGTCCCGCGCTGGAATAGCTGCGCTCGCCTCCGGACATAGGGGTGGAGGGATGCAAAGTTGGGGCGAGGCGTGTCCAGGTATCCAACCCACGATGACCCAGGTGTGGAAGAGAGGGCAAGCCCAGGGCCAGGGATCTGCACGAAGCGAAGTGAACGGAACTTAGAATTCCCGAGCGGGGACACAGTGTAAGGAGAGAGAATAACTATCAGATTCTCTTATTTATGATACTTGGCTTCCCATCATCACCCCAAATGAGTAGCGAAGCTGTGGTTTAGGTGCAGCTGGAGTGAGCGCTCAGAGCCTCTTGCAGCCTAGAGGATCCTCAAGGCGCAGAGCACCAAAACGCCCGCGTTCTCTGTGCGGGCCTCGCGGCTGCAGCGACACCTTTCCTCTTTTTTAAAGAGCGAAAATAGATTCACTCAAACCTGAAAGTCGTAGCATCATTTGTCCTTTTCTTTTCTAAAGGTGGCTGGACAGCACTGGGGTAGTGGCCCACCCAAGCATCTTCCTTTTATATGTCCTGGAAGCGGTTAAAATATATACTAAAGCTATTTTTTCTAAGACCAATCAGACCCCCAAATTTTCCATTATGTTATCTCTCAAAATACTTGGAAGCAAACCGGACAGTGGCACAATCTAAAGCAGAAAGGGACGTAGGTTTACATTTTTTTGCGCACCACGCAGATCACTATTATCATTTGATCGTTTCCCGATGTCCCTGGTTCTCTTTTATTTTATACCTCGCGGTTGCAGCGCACGCATCTTGTCATTGGCGCTGCATTTGACTTGCTATGGTGTGGGTTCAGTGCAGACATCAGTCTACAGACCTCGCTGTAGCGACTTAAAGTCAGGTATACATCATAAAGTTTCAGCCACAGACTTGCAGCGAATAAGTTTCACAACAAAAGCAGTTCTAATTGTTAATTTATAGGAAGAAAGAGCCTTGTTTCCTTCTACGGTCTCTTATGACTGATGGTGGTCACCAGACGTGATAATGAAATCAGCTGTAACACGCCCCTCTGACATGTTTTGGTCAGCTGTGCTAGATAAAGCAACAGGCGTGTACATAATTGCTTGCAATGTCACAAAACCTCTACTGACTTATGAAACTGTATGCTCTAATATACGGTAGTATAAGACAAATAAATTTTGTTGTTTTAGTCTTAACTGTATTTACACAATTTTAAAATGCATGTAGAGAACCTTGATTTAAGATCTGATATAAAATATGCAGAAAAATCTTTCTGCAAAATGTTTTCTATTAAGTATAGGAATAATATACACCTTAGTCTCAGATTAAGCCACTGAAAAATTAATATATGATAAGTCCTTTAGACTATAGGTTAGTCATTAGAATACATTTAAAAATGAAAGAAGAATGGAGGGTCCATTTAAAAATGAAATTGTGTGGAGACTCTCTCTTTAACATACAAATGAGCATGTATTTTGTGATAGACCAAAATTTTATTTCTGCAAATTTCATCCTTTATGCAAGAGTGAAATAATCTTCATTTTAATCCACCATTCAGATACATTTGTCATTATAATGTCACCTTTTCCTAAAATGAATTTTACTTGCTATACTCCAATCTCAGTATATGAAATGTTATATTATAATCCTCATAAGTAAATCTTTCAGTTTTAGAAAGACCTAAGAAAGTGTATGTAGTCTGTGGGAGATGAGCATATGTAGAGGGGAAAAACGTAGGCCAGAAGTCATTAAACTTGAGCCCCAATCTTAATTCTAGTTAATTTGATATTGATTTAGCTTTTTGTAAAATGAAGATGATTACGTTTTCCACAAACTTGCCTTACGCTGTCATTAAGATATTTTTTTAAATGTGAAAGCTAAGTATTGCTAAAGCTAGAAAAATGTTAAGAACATTTGGCAGAAATCTAAATCCATTCTATTGAACTTCGAGTGTAGTTATAAATATAGGTAATTTTTACTTTCTGTAGAAGAAAAAAAGAAGGCTTCATTTTTAGCATTTTGATATTGTAAAGGAGCCTATTTTGGAGCAAATATTGGTCAAAATTTTTGAAAATAATGATTACTTTTAAACTCTTTTCCAGTTATTACTTATAGGCAATGAAATAAATTACAAAGCCAGGGAAAGACTGTCACTTCCCATTCAGATGGTATAAAGTAGTACATGTATGAACAAATAGCAGCTTCACCTCACACTTGGCTAGTCGGACCTGTAGAGATATGTACTGGAGTAGTAAGTGGAACAACCAACCGTAAGAGGTGGTGAAAGACACAGCCGCAGCGGCAGAAACATTGTGAGCAAACTGGTAGAATGGGTGGCCCCCAAATAGCTCAGAAGGCATTTTTGCTTTATTTATACTTTTATTGTAGAATAAATTATGTCAGAGAGGGTCTTCTTCATGAATTTCACTCTCAAGCAATCAAAGAACAGAGTACAAGTAAAAATTCCTCTTCAGCCAGCTCCACCCAAACACATTTCTAAGAGACAGCCACCAAGAGGTGGTCATTGCTGGTTTGATGTGCATTCTTAAGACCCTTTCCTATGCATTCACACACACAAATACAATCAAAACATTATAGTTTTGTTTTATTAGTTTTTTTAAATAAATGAGACCATACTTTATGTAAGTATACACACACAGAGGAGTATTAAACTACAACTTGCTTTTTCACTCAATGATTTCATACAGAACTCTCATAATAGTACATATAAATGTAATTCCTTCTTTTTAACTGTTATGTAGTACTCCATCATCCATTTCGCCATTCCCCGATGAACATTTCTGTCTTTCCAATTTTTACTATTAAGTTTATAATAGTCAAACATTTCTTGTATATGATTCTTTCTGCACATGTGTAACTATTTCTCTAGAAATAGTTACACAGATGTAGAATTGCTGGGCTGAAGGAAACATGATTTTCAAATCTGGATAGATACTTCCAAATTTCCCTCCAACCTCCACCTCTACCAACACATGAAAGTCCCCATTTCCTCACATACTTACACAGCATTGCATGTGTTCAGTCTTCATAACATTTGTCTATGTGATGAGTCAAGCAATGTTGCATTGTTTGAGAATCTTTTCATTTATTTGTAAGCCATTTTTATTTCTTAATTGAAGAAATATGCTTATATCCGTTGCTTACATCTTTATTAGATGCCTTATAATTTATAAAGGTTCTTTGTAAATCATTTTTTTCCATAACTTATATGCTTTATACATTGCAAATATGTTATCTGGTCTAAAGTCTGCATTTTACCTACTTTATCTTTTGCTTTACAGAAGGTTTAAACATGAATATAGGTCAATAAATCTGTCTTTTCCTTAAAGGGTTCTGGGTTTTGTGTCTTCCATACACAGGCTTTTTCTGTATTTTCTTCCAATACTTTAAAAAATTGCTTTTACTTGGCTTTTTAATCCTTCTGGAATTCATTTGTATATGTTGTGAGGCAGAAATCTAATCTGATGTTTTTCTTCTCCAATTGAATGGGCCAATTATTCCTATGGCATTTATTAAAGAGTTTTTCCCCATTGATTGGATTGGAAATAACGTTTCTCATATATGTGGTGAATTCCTTTCCATATGTACGTTGGTCTAACAAGGCTTTGAGAGATGTTGCAAAATACCAGTAGACTGTAATATATTTACAATAGACTTCAAAATTTTAAAACCATCTTGTGCTCCAGACTTTTCAATATTATTCTGTTCTAATTTCAGAACATGTCAACTATCAACATGGTAATGTGCATTGCTTGATTATGGTTGTAATTTTGAAGGCTAATTCAATACTGGTCCATGATGAAGCCATTGATGTTGTCCTTGTCCTGTTCAGAAGCAGGAAGGCAGTTTTAGGTAGCCATATTCTCCACCGTAGAGCACAGCTGCACAGAGCTTTTTGAACATGTCACATGATAAAGTGATAACCGATTCCGAGTAATATAAGATTATTTGGAAGAGTGATGACCTCCTGCATCCATGATTTGAAAAAGTAGAGTACATCTTCCTTCCTGCTCAATTTTTTTACGGAATGGGAATTCTTTTTTCTTTTTTCTTTTTTTCACATAGCAGCCGGCCAAGATGAGAACCACCGATAGAGTTGTATATTAGTCAAATTCACTCTGGACAAAAGTTGCAAGTACTTTGTCACTACCATTTCTAAAAAACATGAGCTACATATAAGTGCAGAAAGTACAAGTAATAAGCAGTTGGTAGAGCTGAGATCCAGGTGGGTTAGCATCTTGTGCTATTGCATAGAGCGTCAGGCAGGAACTGAAATAACCCTGGAGCTCCAACACTCCATCTTTTCCCTTGATACCAAGTGTCTTCAGTAACCTCCAATTATTGGGTCTTTACTACTTACACATGTGAAAATAAACGCACTATATACTGGGGTCACAAGGGGAACCTGGAGAACGTTTTACCCTCAAAACGCACATTGAAATATTAGAATTCCTTCCAGAAGATTATCCTAGCTTGAACATCAATTTGCCTTCACATCAAAAGGTAGCCATTTTAATAAATATAGTAAAGACTTTTGACCACAGGTTAGTATGACTTGCTGTATTTTGAACCTAATTGACTTCAGGTACTGAATAGATTTTTAAGATTTAATTATTCCGTGTACTTCATGCTATGTTAAGCTTTGGATAACCCTCCACCTAACCCCAAGTCCATCCTCCCTGTTACATTTTCATTTTCCCTGCTTTCATCATGTGTAGGCTATTTGAATAAAC